GCCTGAACACTGAACGGCAGGCTGGCGAGCTCTTTCCGATATCGAAAAGTGCTGCCTGTGTCTCCATCGTGTAACACATTTATACCAATGGTTTAGCCGTAGTGGAATCGCTGGTTTTTCCGACAGCCCGTTCGACACGGCGTCTACGGAGTGTCGTCGATTTAAGAGAGGATAGCCCTCTCCCTCGATGAGATAGTGGTGATTCAAATGAGAACTTTGACAAAGGAAAAAACGTCTCCTTCGGCAGGCGTAAGGATTTTTTTCCACGGAACCCCTTATCCCCAATCGGCTCCATCAATACAATCTATTTTAACAGTAATGACTTTGAATTAGACTCGAGCAGAAATTGCTTCAAAAGCATATTAGAAAGGCGTGCTTCTTTAGGGGAATTTATGATACACCTGGTTAAATCCTCTTTTACAAAATTCCTGAACTTTTCCCCCTCCAAATTTCATATAAACTTGAGAAACGGAATAAAAATCATTCAACTGATATATTTCGCTCTCAACAGAAAAGCGGGCCACAAAAGCTTGAAATTAAAATTAATTTAACATCTCAGTCATTGTTATCCTCAACTTTGATTTGTTCGACGAGAACGCTTGCTCGCGAACATGCGAAAAGTGGGACCGAAGTCCATTCTTATTGTCTTGACATGTTCTCGCAAATTAGAGAATTTTATTTCATTGTGATGAGTTGAACTTTCCCTCATGAGGTAGATTGGAGAGTCAAAGGTAAATGGGCAAGACAGCAGCTCGAGCTCCTTGATTTTCTTGTAGTCGAAAAACAAGACAGCAAAACTCATGTAAACCACTCAACATCTTGCTGTACTTGTCAGTCATATTGAAGGGCAGGGGACGATACTATGCAAAGTGGGGAAATGCGAAAACATGCTGTCCTTCACGTCTCGAAAACGGGAGTAGCTCGACTTGGAACGTTTTCATCAGTTGAGTAGAGTTCCTGGACGAACACTCCCTTGACTTGCAGTTTCAGATTGAAGTCGTTTAAATGCTCCATAACGTCCACGGCAAAGGCAGGGCCAGAATATGTGCCTTGAACTTTGGGAAATCTTCATCTTTACCCTTCCATTTCCAAACACATGATGATTCTTCAGCTCCCACGCACTCCCATGTAAACGAAAGCATAGAATCCATTATGAAACTGAGGCAAACGGACATCGCCATATGAGAACATACAGGCGATGGAAAAATCCATACAATCCTGATCTTGCGCCCAGCAACTTCCATTGGTTTGGGTCAACAAGCACCTCAGCAGACAGCATTTCACTATGTGATGGTTCAAGAATGGTTACAATTCTTTGCAGATGGCATGTTCTTTGATGGGACAAGTGTCTCAACCTGGGTGGTAATTGTGTGACAGGATCTAAAATAAATTGTGCTTAGAACTCAGGCCTTGTATTGTTATTTTCCATTCATCCCTCATGTATTCAGGGTAACAAGCCATCCATTCAACATACAGGGTGTTTTTGTCAATTAGTCACCATTTTAAAATAATATAACTAATATCACAATGGCTCTCCTACAATTTAATTGAACAGGCTGCCAAGTTTTCTTTCCTGCACAGTTGGCAATCCAAACTCATTCACTTAATTCACTACCAACATGGCAAAAAACTCAAATTAAATTTATTGAGCATGTCATTTCAAACATCATCCATGCATTAACAGGTTTGTTGTGACCACCAACTAGCCCCACATCAACCCATGTGACTTTTGTTGGAGATACCTAAAAGTGAATGTGTTCAAGAGAGCTAATGACTGAGTGACAGTGAGATGCTGAGTAGATTAATGAATGACATGCTTGTATACCTTATACTGCACATGGTTGAGTGTACCTCAAGCTGAACTGCACAGGAAAAAAGTATGCTTTTTTTAGTGGCATGGAAATAGCTGCCATTTCTTGTATACATCAAAATATATATTATTTTGAAATGGTGACTAATTGAAACACCCTGCTAAAGCAGACTGCCTGTGATGAGCTTTATAGGCTCAAGAAAATATTCTCCAGGTAGAGTGAAGATAGAATTGAATACAGTCTTTTGTGACATTTTTGTTCTCTATTACCAGTCACTCATCTACATGAAGGCCTTGAATATCACAATGGGTCGCACAGGGTCTTGAGATCTCTAGGATTCCTTCCACTGAGGAATTCCAATTCCTTTTGCCCTTCAGGAGTCTGTGCAGCTGGATTCTGAAGCCACAGTCGATCTGTGTAGTAATTGACACAACTATAGAATTCTCTCTCAGTGTAATTTCCCACATGGATCGGGATGAATGGATCCAGTTTTTCAAATCCCTGTCAAGAAGAGGGATATCAGTTGGAGACATTGGTTTAACCCATTTCTTTCATATACAGATTAAAAAAAACCACCAACCTCTTTGCCTAGTAAATATCTAGGCATGTAACTTTCCCTTCTGTCAGGTTGTCCAGCAAGTCTATCCACTGTAACAACTACAGCACCATTAGACTGGAAGATGAAACAGATGAAAAATAAAATTAACCTGAAAAATGAAAATATTAGATTATTTGTGGCTAGTGAAACAGTCCATTGACTAAAGAGACTCACCCAATCATTGGTGAAGGATCGTAGGAGAAGCTGGGAGAGTGAAAATTCAGGACTATGAATGTGAGATTTATCTAGTTTTTTCATTTGGGTCCTTCCATACCAGAGATTATTTACTCCATCAACAGTGATCAGTGTCTTGCACCTATGTTCAGAGATTTCATTCAGGTTAACCCAAGAATCAAGAAATTAAACACGAAGACTCTTCCATTTCCATTAACTTCAACTAGTTTCCTCAGCCTTCTTGATGCGTTTTTCAGAGTGAGATGGCAGAATGAGAACCTGACCACATGAACATGGCTCTGTATTTGTGTAGTTGATTAAGGTTTCACACATTAACTTTTTTAAATATCTGCTGATTCTGACAACACTGATGTAATTCTTCAGTTTAATTTACTTGGCTATCTCATATTTTACTATTTTATTGACACTGCTCATACTTCATCACTTGAAGGGTGAATGAAACTGCAGTATAGTCATTATACTACAGTTTCATTCCACTGGACAGGGCTGAATGTAGGAAAAATCCTCTTCTGCCATCATCTGCAGGTGAGGGCTCAGAAATCTTGTGTCCATATAGAGTAAAACACCCCAGTGATGGGCCACAGCACAAATTTCAATAGCTAAGCTTCCATCTCATGCATATCCACCCTGTAGTGGCATAGGCAAGCAAAATGCAAGCATATACAGGGTGTCTCATAAATACTCTAATAGGGTCTTAGAGTATTTTCTCAGCCAGCTAGCTGAAAGATAGTTTAATTTTAATTAAATTTCAGGGAAGAGAAGAGAATTCTTCAAGAGCTTCAACATGACAAAGATCTCCTCAAAAGTCTTCTCTGCTCATAGCCCAAGCACATTCAAACCATGATCAAGAACAGTGGTGGCCATACTGACTTTTCAGTTTTTGTGTTTTAAAATTTTTTGAAATCTTTGTAACTTTTTGAAGAGTTAATAAAAATGTCTGAAAATTTGCAAATTAATTTGAAATTCAATTATTTTTCAAGTAGAATAAACATCCTTGAAATAAATGCTCTGCTAGCTGGCTAAGAAAGTACTCTTCGACCATAGTACATATTTATGAGACACCCTGTACACACTTCAGGTGTTTATGCTACAAATGCCTAGTTTATGGAATTTTCCTGCACCATGGCCCATCACTGAGTGTATGCCCTCAACAGGTCCATCATTGGGTATTTTTTCCTACCTAACTTTCCATTGAAATATAAAAATCACACAAAATGACTTTGAGCCATCCTAAGCAAAGCACAGCAAAGAAAACAGTGAAGGCTGTAATGTCAAGGGTTTATGGCAATTTTATTAAATTTATGGAGAACTTTGATTCTCTACTAGCATGAGGAATGAATTGATTGAAAGCTCACCTTCCTGCAGAGCTGTGGAGGCACGCTTCCTTCAATACAGCCCCAAAAACATCATTGGAGTATTTTATGCGATTCACACCCAAGTCCACAAGTTCCATCAAGGGTACATCTTTGGGAGTTCCATCTCGCTTACTGAATACATGCTCCTGTTGTGTTTTCAACTGGAATGTAAAAAAAACTGCCTTTAGCAACTTGTCACACTCCAACTATTAATAACATTGCCATCCTCTTTTCATTACAGAAAGCAAAAAAAAAAGAGAAAAATTTGCCTTTCCTTGTACCACAAGTGGCATCCATATCTATTTTTAAAAATTCAGGCTGACTTGCTTAGTGACAGTGGAAAAAGAATCAATTGCTGTAAGAAATGAAGGCTTGCCTCTGACAGTAGCTGAGCATTTTGAAGCTTGATTTGAGCAAGAAGCTGGACACCCATCATTGGCAGGTTGTAGAGCCCTTCCATTGTTTCTGAAGGAGCTGTCTCCCACTTGAACTTGAACCAGTAACTACCTGTGAACAGAAAAAAAAATTACTTGTATTTGCATTGTATTGCATTTGGAAGATTGGACCCTGCTTAAGAGCTTATTTAAATACACATACATAACCCAGCATTGATGGCGAACCACTTATTCTTCAGGGCAAAGTGAATAGTATTTACAAGGCTCATGGTCTTCCCTGCACCATCTCTCCCATCTGAAACATGCAAAGCAGCCAACATCATGAGGCAGGGAAAAATGGTATGACCATGGTGCTTTTAAAATTTTCAAGTCACTTGCAGAAAGAGTAACCTACAAAGGACAAGATGAAGGGAAGGAAAGCCTGGTCTTGCTTGCTTCAGGCAGTTGATGGCTTCAAGGGCTGGGCGACGCACCATGAGAGACATTTCTTGGAATGTCTTTCTCTGCTTGTCATGTTCTCTCCCCCATAGTGGTTCCCCTTGAAAGAAGTCCTTCATCTCGTCTTCTGGGATTGTATAGAAGAGCCCTTCATCTTGCAGAGTGTGACAACTCTAGTAGAAAGGAAAGAAGTGAAAATCACACTGCACTGAGGGCATACATGAATCCAAGGACACAAGGTTCTCATACAGGATCAGCCTGAGAAGTTCGGCAATGCGATATCCTTCTAATGCTGCCTAGCAAGAAGGACTGCAAACTTGAGTTGAGCGCAGGACGCATCATTCACCCTTCCTGACGCAAAGTTCACTGTTCCAATGTTAAAGCAAGACTGGTAAAAAGGGACTATCAGCCCATAAAGAGAAGAAAAAAAAAATTTGAAGACGAGGAAATGAATCTGAGAGCCTCCTTTCTTTCAACTTGAAAACAGCTACATCATTATTTCACTGAATAAGTATGCGGCTGATGATCGCACGAAACCGACAGCGATAGAGCGAAGCACGTGTGCGCCATGGAAGAAGTGATGCGTATAGAGTCGTACACGAGAGGTCTATTTTCTATTTCACTCCGCGGGTCTGAATCTCTTCAACGGATGCAGATGCTGTCGGTCAGACCTGGCGGTTGTAGAAGAAACGAACCATAGGACTCTAATTTTCCGATGAACTTACAACCAATGAGAGAAGATAGACTGGAGAGAGATCAAACATGGCGTCCAAGATCGTCAGGGTCTCTGCTACTGCTGCTGCCAGGTATTTCAAGAAATCCACTCTGCCTCGGGTGAGTCTACATCTGAGCGGGTCATTTTTCTTTCACTCGTAGGCCTACTTTTACGAGATTCTCTTCTCTTGATCAGGCATTGCTACGGCCCCAGAGCACATTGGCAGCAACTGCTGAGCAAACGCTGCTGAATGTCCCTGAGACTCGCGTGAGTGTACTCGACAATGGACTGAGAGTAACTTCGGAAGATTCAGGAATACCAACAGCCACTGTAGGGCTTTGGATCGATACTGGATCGCGATACGAGACCGACAAAAACAATGGAGTCGCTCATTTTGTGGAACACATGGCCTTCAAGGTCCGAGATTTCATTTCACTGTCTTTCCTTTCACATAGTTCCTTAAATGTATGCTTGCATGCAAAGTAGAAGAATTCCTTTCTTAGGGCACAGCAAAGAGGTCCCAGACAGCCCTAGAAATGGAGGTGGAGAACATGGGGGCACACCTGAATGCCTACACATCAAGGGAACAGACAGTGTTCTATGCCAAATGCTTGAGCAAGGACATCCCAAAGGCACTGGATATCTTAGCCGACATCATCCAAAATTCAAAATTCGGTTAACGGTCATCTTTATTTTATTTAGTTGCAATATTCCAATTGTGTCAAAGCTACTGGTGTTAGCAATAAAATTATTCTTGTAGGTGAACAGGAAATTGAGAGAGAGAGAGGTGTCATCTTGAGGGAAATGCAGGAGGTTGAGACTAATCTGCAGGAGGTTGTTTTTGACCATCTCCATGCAACTGCATACCAGGGAACTCCTTTGGGTAGGACAATATTAGGCCCAACTGAAAATATCAAGTCAGTCCCTCTGCATGGTTTTCCTGGCTTATTTCATAAAAAAAATAATCCATATTCTGTTGATTCAATCAACCCCTCTTGTTTGGCCTGTCAGGAGCATTTCAAGGCAGGACTTGGTGGAATATGTGACAACTCATTACAAGGGGCCGAGAATGGTGCTGTCAGCAGCTGGTGGAATTGACCATGATCAATTGGTCAAACTTGCTGAGCAACATTTGGGCAAGCTCCCCATGAGCTATGATGGAGAAATTCCTCTCACACAAAAGTGTCGATTCACTGGTAAGCTGTTAACTTTACCTTGCTGTGGAATTGAATTCCATTTTTAGGACTGCTGTATTTCCTTTCAACAGGTTCTGAGATCCGGGTGCGAAATGATGACATGCCCCTGGCCTATGTAGCAATTGCTGTGGAAGGTTGTGGTTGGGCAGATGCAGACAATTTGCCATTGATGGTAGCGTCAACCATGATGGGTTCATGGGATCGATCACAAGGGGGAGGGGCACATCTGGCATCCAAGTTGGCCTCTGAGTGTGCCAAGGATAATCTCTGCCATTCCTTCCAGGCCTTCAATACATGCTATAAGGATACAGGACTCTGGGGTGTCTACTTTGTGGCAGATTCCCATTCTCTTGATGTGAGTCTTCATCTCAGAATTGGATGCAGGATATTAATAGAAAGGCTGAGATTATCTGAAATTGACTCATATTTCTTGAACAGGATATGATGTATAACATTCAGTCTGAGTGGATGCGCATGTGCACAAGCATCACTGCCTTTGAAGTGGAGCGGGCAAAGAATCTTCTCCGCAACAACCTTCTTCTGCAGTTGGATGGAAGCACTCCCATCTGTGAGGATATAGGTCGTCAGATGCTCTGCTATGGAAGGCGAATGCCTCCACATGAGTTGGATGCTCGCATCAAGGTTAGCTAACAGCTAGCAGTTAACTTCTCTTTGAGATGCTGTCATGACCCTTCATTACTTACTTGCTTGTGCAGATGATTAACGAGAAAGTGGTCCACAATGCTTGCATGAAGTACATCTATGACCGCTGCCCTGCTGTTGCTGCTGTTGGACCCGTTGAGCAATTGCCTGACTACAACCGTGTTCGGTCCTCCATGTATTGGATTAGGTTATAAATAATCCCGAGTCCTAATGCAGTCTTGTCCCAAGGAGAGAGATCAGTGATTTGATTTTGTCTTCAGTTTCTCTTAATAAAGGTCAATCTATTGCACCATGTTGTTTTTCTTTGATGTCAATACCTTTGTTGTGCAGGAGGCACAACAAAGGTATGAACCTGGGCAGTTATCCTTGATGGAAAGAGGAGGGATCTCCTTCACATGCCGTTTCTTATAAACTTGAACATGAAACAGATAGTTTCATGCTCTGTGACCCATCTGTTGTACTTTCTTTTTGCATCAGATTCAAGGTAGCAGGATGTTTTCGAAAGCATTTCGAGTCAAGGCCAACACTGCACTGAAAAGTTCTGACAGGTGAGTCATCAAATTTGTCACAGTATATATCTATTTTGCATCCTCTAAAGGGTTCCCTCTCAGATTCCTTTTTTTTTGTGATAGGAAGAAGCTAAAAGCTGAACTGGAAGGAGCTTTCCCTTCACTGGTAAATCATTTGAGCGATTTGATTCCTAACAAGGCTGAAGTATCTGCTATCAAACTCCACCTGCAGTCAGGGGACTCTAGTACTGTCTATTCAGTCAACAAGGAACCCCTGTGTTTTGTTCTGGAAAACAAGTTTTATCCAACTCTCTATTTGCTGTGGAAATTCCCTGACCTCATCCCCTGTTTCTACACTCAGCCACCTGTTTTGAAAAAACTACAGAATGGAGCTGACCTAATGCTGCCTGGAATCTTAACTCCTCCTGAGATTGGACCCAAGACATATGGAAATCTCAAGAAAGGCGATGCATGTGCTGTGGGATTGACAAGTAACCGTGCCCCAATTGCACTGGGACGAGCAGCTTTGAGCAGCTTTGATATGTATATGTCTGCTCAGAGGGGAAAAGGTGTTGTGATAATGCATGTGATGAATGACCATCTGTGGGAAATGGGATCAAAAAAGAGCCCTCCTCTTCTTGGACCACCTACATTGGTTGTGGAGGAAGAGAGAGTGCAAGGAGATACTTCAAACAATGAAGAATTACAGAATGACAATCCTGATGAACCTGAAGTAACTCAGGGGGAAGAGGGAGAAACAGGGCACATTTTTGATGAGTCACAGGGCCAAAGCGAGGGTTTGCAAGATGAGCAAGATGATGAAGAATCACAAGAAACTAGGATCTCTGCTGTATTAGAGGATAGACTATCTCTATCAGAAAGTGAAGCAGCCTCAGAGCCTACAAAAACCATGGAAGACCTATTGCTGAACTGTCTCCTGACAGCGCTTAAGACTTCTGCTAAAAAACTGGAACTGCCATACTTGACTAGTTCCTTCTATAGGCTTCACATGCTCCCTGCATGTCTCCAAGGTGAAAGCTTGGATGTGAAGAAGAGCAAATACAAGAAGCTTGGGGTGTTTCTCAGGGAAGTCCAAGATATGGGCCTCCTCAAAGTAGAAGAGACAAGCAAAGGAGTTGATAGCATTATGTGTATCAACTATGAGAACCCCATCTTGACAGGGTTTCGAGTGAGTGCTCACACAAACTGCATTTTGCTTTTTCATGTTAGGTCCCATGATTAACATTCTCACTGCAGGTTGAGAAGAAGCCCAAGGCAGTCATTGAGGAGGACTTGTCGAGTCCCAATATATATATTCCACCAGAAATTGTGGAACTACACTGTATCACAGCTGCAGTTCTACCTATATTCAAGCCTGCTGGTTACAGGTAAATGGAGTTTACCAACATCGTCCACAATCATAATGCAGTCTTGTGTGAGTACAACAGTGGATTTCTTAATGCTGCAGCAAAGGAGATGGGCTTACAACTCCAGAGATCAGAAATGTGGTCACAAAATATGTAAGGGACCATGAACTGGCAGATCCAGCCAGGAAAAAGTAAGGAATTGGCATGATTGACTAGCATACCTAATTGCTTATGTTCTTATCTCTCAATTACTTTTCATTTTCTACAGCATTGTGAAGTTGAATGAGACCCTTCAAGGTTGTCTGCTCACAAAGAAGGATGCTGCTACAGTTGGAATGACATGGAGTGAGGTGATGTCATCTGTATTGGCCAAGATGAGTCCAGCATATCAAGTGACACATCCAGGTCAGGAACCACTTCTGAAGAAAGGACTGATTCCTACTGTTTCTGCTACTGTCCAGAAGAGGTCTGGTAACAAGAAGGTGCTTTACTATGTTCCTCCACATTCCAACACCATCAGGTGGCTTTTTTTCTTATTGTCTTTGCAATATTACACAGGTTACTTTGGTGACTGGAATACCAGAGCTTGGGTTAGATATCAACCAAGTGTCGAAAAGGATTCAGCATGGAGTAGCAACAAGTGCTTCCATCGGCCAAGGAGCCAATGGGCAGGTGCAAGTAACTATCCTGGGTGATCAGAGGAAGTTCCTTTTTCAACTTTTCACTGGTCAGTCATACATTTGCTTGAGTTAAGAGTCAATGATGACATTTTATTCAATTCTCCCATGAAATTCTCTTGCAGGTGAATACAAAATCCCATCTAAGTATTTGAAAGGCTTCGATCTGGGGAAAGGGCAAAAGACGTGAATGTGAATGAGGGAAAAATAAAGAGGATCTTATTGAAAATCTCGATCTCTTTATTCTTCAAAGAGTTCATGACCAAGGAGGAACACTCCAGTATACATCCTCATGCTCTTTACACAAATAGGTCAACAAAAAGGAAATGGATAAGAAAATGAAAGGAGAGCTGCGAGGATGAGATAAACATCCATCACCAATCATAGGAAGTCCCAATCAGGAAATGGAACAGGTTTTCATATTGGTACAAGATGGGGGGCGTTCAGACACTGCTGCTGCAGAGGGCACAGGAGATGAAAATGATGGAAGACGGAGGATACGCTTGCTTCGCCGCCGACTTAGTTGCCGGTCAGAGTGCAGGTATCCAGAGCGGTAGCAGATCTTGTATGAGGTCATTGCATATGACTTGAGATTGTGACTTGATGGCATGTGGCAATGGAAGATGGTCGATGCCATACACTGATGTCCGTGATGTTATCACACGACAACACAGCTCTTGCAGGCCAACCACTAAGCATGAAATGGGAAATAAAGGTGAGAAATGCTGTGATTATAATCCATTTAGAAAGATGTATGTACTACACTACATTTCAGTGTCAGCTGAGACTGACACCAATGATGGAAACTTTCAAAGGAAGGAAATCAACAAGCAGTTCAATTATCTTTCATATTCAGGCCTCCACACTTGCTGCTACTTGTACACTTGTATAGGAGCAGAACCTTCCACAAGAAAAACCAAAGCTTCTCCTTGATTCTCAGGTGTATTTGGAAGCCTAATTTTTAAAAGATACGAGGGCCACTCAATAAGTTATCTACCTGAATATGAAAGGGATGAGTAACAGGCCTGTGCCTGCTGTGACAGGTCTCGTGAGTGGCCCCACCACTATACCAGCTCAGTGGCTCAAGTCCGTTCAAAGTGGTAGGGCACTAGATTTCTTTTCCTGAGTCTGTGTCATGGATCTGACGAAAGTTGAACATCGTTCAGTGATCAAATTCCTCACCAAAGAAGGGAAAGCACCTAAGGAGATTCATGAACGTATGTCTAAGGTTTATGGTGTGTCTTCACCTTCTTATCACCAAGTTAAATTTTGGAGCAAGCAGTTTAAGTGGGGAAGAGAGTCGATTGAAGATGACCCAAGGTCAGGGGGCCCTGTGGAGGCTTCTGATCAGGAAACGTGTGACAAATTGGAGAGTGCAATACCGGAGGATCGTCGCACCAAAGTCTCTGTTTTAGCTCATGAACTGGGGATTTCAGAGGGCACAGTGATTCACATTATTCATG